TGTCTGGGTAATTAAAATCGCCCATGACAACTACATCCCTCCATTTTACCTCCATTTCTCCAGGTAAAAATGAAATAAAAACTTTACCAATGTGCTAGAGACCTAGTTCTATATGATTCAGTTCAAGGTCAAAGTAAAAATAAATATAACCTTACTGCAACGTGCATTCATTTGCTGTATCAAATATTATGTATAAAACACGATAAATGAGGCAAAATAATTGAAAGAGGTTTTATTTAGTTGTCTTTAGAATTAAATGTGCGTCTCAGATTCATAGACAAAATCAAAGCTACCTTGAGCATCTTGACGGTGCCTCTAATGCTTCACTGAAAGTTACTTCCACAGGTGAGTTCATGTTCACTGGAGTTAATGTTTCCAAACCTGAATTAATGTTTTTAGCTAGAGAGAAAAAAAGTCAGCAAGACTGTGAAATAGGAGCTTTAAAAGCTATATTAAGAGGAACAGGTAACAGATGGCAGAATTGCAGAAGAAAGGATAACTTAAGTAGTGGAATATCAAGACGATTAAGAAAGGAGAAAGGATCATTAACACAGAGGGAATGAAAAGTTCAGAAGGAAGCAGGAAGATGATAATGAGCCACCAAGTCAAGCAATTCCCTGGCAGCTGCCTGAACAGAAGTGCTGCTGCCACTGTCAGGCAGCTGGCTTTAAACCTTGGGTGAAGCAGGAATCAAAGGGGGGCAGGGGTTGAGACTACCACTGCACCCCCCTAATCAGCCCCTGCCTCCTGGTAACATTTTGTCACGACGAAAACTGACCCTAAATAGCACCTAGAAGCCCTAATCGCGACACCATACGAAACCAGAACAAAAAAGTAGGACCCCTGCCCCAAAAACATTGTATGAGACAATAGAAAACAAATGGATATGGACGTATGGGTAGAGAAGTACAAAGAAGCAGTAAGACAGTGTTGGTCAGCATCATAGGTCAGTGGCCAACTTAATCCATCTCTTTGTTTTCGCCCTCTGAGCCAATTTTTGGCCCGTGATTGGGAAGTTCACTTTAGTGAAGAAAATAAAAAGAAGTGTAAAGAACAGCCGTCAGTAAAAGAGAAGGAAATGAGAAAGGCAACAAGATTTCCAAAGAGCAAATAACAAAGGGCATAAAAATGAATAAGAAATTGCAGGAAGCCAGTGAAAGAATTGGCAGGTCCATCCGTGCCGGAAGCAATTCAGATAGGAACGTTCCTGGGAAGCTACAGCATATGATTTTTTTGCATCAGTTTTCACTGACCGTGGTGTTTGGCAGAGGCCTACTGCAGACCTGCTCCTTCCTGGCCGGAGAAATTTCCCAGGGGCTGAGTTGCTAAGGTGTAAAAAGAAGAGATGCTGCAGCAAAATGATCATTTATGGGGCATTAAGTCAGTGGTTCTCAACCTTTTTAGACTCAAGGCTCCCTTCGGAAAATGCCAGGTCTTGAGATGACAATGCAATATCTTTTAACTATAGAAAAATACTAGAGCAATTCTTCTGTTGCAAAGACCTCAGAAAAACCACGACAGGGCCGAATGTTTTTAACACTGTAGATTCCTATTTGGGATCTCTGGGATTATCTGGTGAATCCCGTTTGCACACCTCGCAGTCCTAACATTGCACGGCATCCTGCGGCACCCTTGAAAAGATTTCAGGGCACCCTCCCTGAGTGTCACCGCTAAGCCGCGGGGCCCCAGCGTTATACAACCAAGAGTTCAGAAAGAACTTAAATGCCTGAACCACTAACAAATATCTTATTAACTAACTAACTAACTATCTTATTAAATATCTAACTAACTATCTTATTAAAAACAGCCATCTCTTCAGGGGGTTGGAGACTAGTATGTGTTCAAAGGCAACTTTAAGGATGACCTAAAATTACGGGCCGGCGAGACTTATGTCTGTACCTGCACGTTGGTTGAAATGATATGTGGCTGACCGAAGCATCCTTGTATTTGCCTGCCTGGCTCTCCAGTCAAAACTTTTGAACTCCATAGTCCACCTGATCCACTTGGGCAGGGAGCGCTCCCGGCTCCGCCGTCAGAGCTGTCCTGATTGTGATGACGCCTGCAAACCCGAAGTGCGAGACCCCCCGGGGGGCAGACGCAGCTCACCAGGAGATCTGTCAGCAGCAACCGCGCGTGGTGCGCAGATCACGGGGGAAAGGGGCATCCAGGAGCCCCAGGCACGGGGAGGGGAGGGGAGAGCGCGGATCCTGGCTGGGGCCACGAGCTGGAGGCGCGGTAGCATGGCATGGGGGCGGTGAAGGGGGCAGAGGGGCACGCGGCGC